CCCTCCTCCCTGGCGGCCTCCCCCCTCCTCCCTGGCGGGCCTCTCTGCAGAGCAGGTGTTAGAACCTGTGCCTTGGTTCCGCCATCTGGGCTGCAGGCCCAGCTCAGTCTGGACCTCACAGAGTGGTCAAAACTCAACCGCATGGTGCAGCAATAACAGCTGCTTCACACGCCAGATCGCACACGGCGACCGTGGTTCGAATCCCCGGCCCGGTCAGTCTGAAACACACGCACGCATGCCCAGGATCTGATGAGCTGTGTGGAGGCATGCAGCTATGCAGACGCAGAGGGAACCAGCCCCTTGGTCTCCGCAGCAGCCCCCACCCCAGCCTGTTTCCTCTTATAACTAGGGGGCACTGCCATGTGAGGGGTCACCACTGGCTGTGCTTTGGGGGGACTGAACCCCGACTCTCTCCTCCCAGGGAGATGACCACCACCCCCAGGGCCAATGGCGACAGGACAGCATGCGGTAAGTTCCCACACTGCACTCAGCCCTTTCCCTGGCACCCAGACATCGGGGTTGGGGAGCTCTAGCAAAAGAGCTACATCTTTATAGAGCTCCCAGGCTCGGGGAGAGCCAGGGTGAAGGGACCGCTCCAAGCTCCCCTTCTTGGGAGGCCTGGGGTGGCTTTTTGAGGGGCACTGGCGCCAGGGCTTTGAGGGATGTGTAGGAGTCTGTTGAGGCCCAGTCCTGTTCACACCCACTGTGCCCAGCAGAGCCTGCCTCCGTTCGTAGTAGGTCAGCACCCGCCCTCCCCATCCCCAGGACCTATAAACGGGAAGCTCTGAGGAAAAAGTTTACGCGGGCCCGGGACATGGAATCCTCCGATGAAGAAGGCTACGACTGGGGCCCGGCCACCGACCTGTGACCCTGCCAGGCTGCCAGCTGCCGCTCCTCCCTCCAAGGGACTGCGTGTCCCCAACAGAACCTGGACCCAGCCCTGCCTTAATAAACAGTATTTTCACAGCTCGGCTTCCAGTGGCCTCGGAGGGTGGGGAGTTCCTCGTGGCCCGCAGACCGGAGCGGAGACTGGCTGTCAGACAAGCTTTTAATTTCTCACATGCGACAGTCACGGCGGGGGCCCGGGGCCTGCGGGCAGCGGGCTAAGGCACGGGGCGGGCTGCGCGGCGGCGCTCACAGGAACACCGGCTGCTCCTGGCCCGTGAGCAGGCGGTAGGTGGCGGCCGGCATCGT